TACTAAGAAGATAGTCATGCATGTGAATAGTGTTAAGAATACTACCTCTCTATTTTAAAAAGGTTGACCATGTTATGAATAATTTGTGACACTCTTACAACTCATTTTGTGACTTTTGATTCGTTTGCGGTTAAAATGTTCAATGCCACTTGTATTTTGTAAAGGAAGTAAGATTTTGAACCATCTTGATTGATTTGCAGGCCATGTGTGGTGAGTTGTTGAATAATGCCTCGTGTTTGCTTTTGTCACCTAGAACTTGCCCGGTTGGTCTTGAAATGTTTGTCTTGATTGAGTTTGGTTGGAGAAATGATCTTAGGCTTTCTTTGATGTTCTTGAACTACTTTGCCTAAAAATCCCACCTTTTCACTAAATATATCCTTAGTTGCCTCCTTTGAGCCTAATCCTTTTTATTGGCAACCATATTACAAGCCTTATCCTTTTTGAAAAAGTAACCCTCTTTTGAACCCTTCCCTCCTTGAACTTGAGGATGTGAAAGTTGAGGCTAAAAGCCTAAGTTGGGGGTGTTATGGGAAATTCATTGAAGGAATGCTTACCACATGAGGGCTTGATATAAAAAAAAGAAAAAAAAGAGAAAAGAGAAATTGAAGGATGGATGGAAAGTCTTAAAGAAAAAAAACTTTGAAAAAGAATGAAAGAAAATGAATAAATGAGACTTGAATCCTCCAAAAGTTGAAAATGGTTGCATGTGTGGCATCTAGAGTGGAAACAAGAAAAATGAAATATAGTGTGGAATGTGCATGGGTTTGAAAAGTGAAGAAAAGTGGAGAAAGTTGGAAATGATGAGTTGTTGTGTATCGTTCAAGGAGGGTGTAGTCACTTATATCTAAATAACATCCTCACCTTCCCCAAGCCTACATTACAAGCTTAACAAAGTCCTTTGAGATTTCTAACCAAATGGAGTTGAGTCAATGTTGATTGAAAATATGGGCAAGCCTATGGTGTGACATTTGTGTGCATGAGATGATTCTTTGTGAGTGTGAGTGTTGCATCTTGTCCCTTGTCTTGTTTATATGTGTGTGGGTTTGGGTCACTTCTTTCTTGTAAGGGCATGTAAGTTGAAAAGTGGTGATTTTGAAATTCCTAATTGAGTCAAGTGAGCATGTCCAAGAGTTAATGAATTGAGTCATTTCTTGAGTTTGAGTTGATGTCACTTATATGATTCTTGATTTTTAAAACTGTTTCATAAGAATGAGAGGATTTCTTTTGTGAAAAGTTTGCATGTGGAATATTTGCTAGTACCAGTTAAAGCCATTACCTTTGTGCTTAATTGAGAGAGGGAAATTATGATTCTTGATTTTTAAAACTGTTTCATAAGAATGAGAGGATTTCTTTTGTGAAAAGTTTGCATGTGGAATATTTGCTAGTACCAGTTAAAGCCATTACCTTTGTGCTTAATTGAGAGAGGGAAATTGATTTGTGGTGTGTCTTGAAATAAGAGCCTCTTGTGTTTTTGATTTTCTTTACTTTGAGGACAAACAAAGTTTCTAAGTTGGGGGTGATGATGAGTGGTGGATTTCACCTCATTTGGGAATTTTTTTCGTAGTTATTTTGGCTTGAATGGTGGATTTCACCTCATTTGAGGCTCTTTTCGTAGTTATTTTGGCTTGCTTTAGTTTTGAATTGATGCTTTTAATGTGGTTTTTTTTCTTCATATTTGCATGAAAATGAAATGGAGAGTTGATTTAGGATATTTGAAGAAACCAAGTGCACTTGAGGCAAAAAGAGGTCAAGAGATTTCTGGCAGGGAAAGGGAATAATTTACTGTGACTTAAAGCCATCAAACGTCCTGTTGGATAAAAGTGGAATGGCGAAGGTATGGTGATCTTTATGTTGTGACTTTTCCACATCATAAGGTGTGCTTTTGACCAATTATATGACGTTGAAGTTCCATTTGTTTCCTGGCAGCTGTGTGATTTTGGATTAGCAAGAAAATTGAGTGAAATATTAAAGGCACCTTCCTCCCAGGTAGTTCACCTCTCTCTCCCCCCTTTTTGACCTAAAATGAACAAAGGAAAAGTTAAATTGGTGGCATAACTGTTTGGAAGTTCACTAAAGGTGAACTGTTTGGAAGTGCTTTTGACCAATTATATGACGTTGAAGTTCAATCATGTCTTTTTCCTCTTCCTGTTCTTATAAAAATAAGATTTCTCTGATATCTAATGTCATCTATGAATCTTTCAGATATTCTTTGGCATCCATCTGATCTCTCAGTCCGACCTATAATGCCTAGCAGAAAATCAAATAAAGGTTCAAATGCAATTCCTTCACTTTCAATTGATGCACCTCAACTGTCCGATTTTTTCAAAATGTCAAAGAAGCAATTAGACTCTTTTAATAGTAGAATCATCAGTATTGTTAGTGGGAATACTCCCTCAGGGGAGAAGCAAAATGTGATCAGATACCTTGAGCTTTTGAGTACCAATGCTGATGCAGCCAACATCTTGACCGATGGGTCTATTGTGTTGGTTCTAGTCAAAATGCTTCGTCACTCCAAGGTTTCTCTGTTGCGTGCTCAACATGCTTCACTTATTGGCTTGTTGATTCGTAACTGTACTTTTATTGGGGATGAGCTGGCAATTCTAGAATATTAGGTGCAATAACTGATTGTCTGAGAGACAGGCAAGAGAATTTGAGAAGGTTTTCCATGGTTTCTTTGTGCGAATTACTATTTTATATATCTACTCAAAATGAGCATGCTCGGGATAATAAACCCCCAACCTGTTTTCTCAAAATCTATTTCTTTCAGTTTCCTTTATGCATGTACTTATTCTTCTATTGGCTACCTTTGCTGCAGGTCAGAATTCTTCGTTCTCTAGGTCATGCAAATGTATTGAAGTTCTACTCCTGGTGATATTTGCATGTAACTCCTTTCTTTTTCTTCAATTTCGTTTCTATGGTAAAGGTCCTTTTGGTGTTTAATAAGAAGATTTCTCTGACTTATTTTCTAATTCAACCGATCCATAAGTATGGAACATCTGCACACCTGTGGTTGGTTTTAGAATATTGTGTTGGAGGAGATCTCATGAGCTTGTTGCAGCAGGTAAACACTGGCAGGTCTGCTATATTATAAAAACATTTCATTGTTCCAGTGGTATAACGGCTGTGTTGGCATATAGGATGCCTTATGCTGACATTAGACACGAACATCCAAAATTTGTGACAACACCCTAATTCTTTTTTGGCTTATTTTTAGTAGAGGCGTGGGATATTGAGGTTTCATGGTAAATTTGTTGCATGCCTACATTGGGATTTCCCAAACAGGCACTAAGGACGTCGGTGTCATGTGCAATTGAATACTTAATTAGAGATAATTGTTTGTAGTCTCACAAAATACAAATATAGGTTCTCACTCTTTGGACTAACTTGTTTCTTGTGCCAGCAAAATGATGTGAAAGAAATAGGTTTCTTTTTTGATTTGTTTATAAAGAGTGGTCAAAATGACCATAGTTTACTGTAGTTGGTAATGTCACAAATTGCATCTTCATCATCTTACCTGTATTTTAGTTTAAACCACACCAGGGAGATTTTAACATCATTTAATCTCTGAGTTGAAGGATGGTAAGCTTCCCGATGATTCAATACATGATCGAGCTCGTGGCCTTGTTAGAGCTCTTCTGTAAGTATCTTTAGCCTTCATTGTTCTTTTGTAACACTTGTTGTTTTGGGCATGAATTACTTTTTGTTTTTTTGTCTACTATGCCAGATACTTGCATTCAAAGGGAATAATTAATTGTGACTTAAAGCCATCAAACATCCTGCTAGATGAAAATAGAATCAGGAAGGTATGGTGATCTTTATATTGTGACTTTTCCACGTCATGACGAGTGCTTTTGACCAATTATATGACGTTGAAGTTCCAATTGTTTCCTGGAAGCTGTGTGATTTTGGATTAGCAAGAAAATTGAGGGGTATGTTAAAGACACCTTCCTCCCAGGTAGTTCACCTCTCTCTCCCCTCCTTCTTGCCATAAAATGAACAAAGGATAAGTTAAATTGGTGGCAGCTGTTTGGAAGTTCACTAAAGGTAAACTGTTTGGAAGTGCTTTTGACCAATGATATGACGTTGAAGTTTCAATCATGCTTCCTTTTCCTCTTCCAGTTCTTATAAAAATAAGATTTCTCTGATATCTCAAAACCATCTAGGAACCTTTCAGAAATTCTTAGGCATCCATCTTATCTCTCAGTCAGATCTGTAATGCCTGGCTAAAAATCAGATAGAGGTTCAGATGCAATTCCTTCACTTTCATTTGATGCACCTCAACTGTCTGATTTTGTCAAAATGTCAGAGGAGCAATTAGACTCTTTTAATAGTTGAATCATCAGTATTGTTAGTGGGAATACTCCCTCAGGCGAGAAGCAAAGTGTGATCAGATACTTTGAGCTTTTGAGCAGCAATGCTGATGCAGCCAACACCTTGACCAATGGGTCTATCGTGTTGGTTCTAGTCAAATGCTTCATCACTCCATGGTTTCTCTGCTACGTGATCAACTTGTTTCACTTATTGGCTTGTTGATTCATCACTCTACTTTTATAGGGGATGAGCTGGCAATTCTAGAATATTAGGTGCAATAACTGATTGTCTGAGAGACAGGCAAGAGAATTTGAGAAGGTTTTCCATGGTTTCTTTGTGCGAATTACTATTTTATATATCTACTCAAAATGAGCATGCTCGGGATAGTAAACCAATGGAATCTCCATCGAAGGACAGCAGACCCTCATCATGTTGGCAGGTATCTTCGTTGCTGTAACTTCTTATTGGTGCGGCTTGTCAAGTTTATTACTCCCTCCATTTTAACTTGGCATAGAGTTTAAGAGAGTAAAGAAAACTTTTGATTGTTAACTTAAATTAAAGACATGTAGAATGTACCAAATGTTCTTAAATCTCGTGGTCTTAAACATGTCATGTGGAAAGATGAAATTAATGAATTTCCAAAAAAGAGAAGACACATTGTTTTTTAAACAGACAAAAAAGGAAAGGAGGACAAACAATTTAAAACAGAGGGAGTGCTATATTTGTTAAAATTCCTCTCCACAATATCTCACTAAGCTATATTGCAATGAGGTTTTAAGTATTAAGTTTTCTATGAGCAATCACTTAAAAGCATAGACACTTTCAGAAACACAATTCATGCACCAATGCCGCTCTTATGAGAAATAATGCAGGTTGTCACTTGGATATAAAAGGTATACTTATTGCAATTAGGTTTTAAGTATTAAGTTTTCTAAGAGCAATCACTTAAAAGCATAGACACTGTCAGAAACACAATTCATGCACCAATGCAGCTCTTATGAGAAATAATGCAGGTTGTCACTTGGATATAAAAGGTATACTTATTAATGGGCTAAAAACCATTTATCTTTTAATTAGTCATAATTATACAGTCATGTATACTCTAGGACATCCAAGTGTATATAATGATTATCTTGTAGTAGATATATCATGTCCTAGAAATCTGCACGGGACAAATTTCTAACATGAAAAATAAGATGGATGACAAATGATAACTTGGCATAGACTTCAATTTTTCCCTGTTAGCTATCTGTCCCACATCACAAAATATTGTAGAATATACATACAAGATTCTACAAATTTTTCTCTGTATTTTACAGGATTAACTAATAAGCTTGCAATTCCCTTGTAGTGCAACACTATATAGCAGTAAAATGAACAAGTGTGTTAAGATATTTCTCTTGGGGTTGTGGAAAAAATAAGATATTGCAAAGCCTCACATTCTGTCTTAACATTCCTTTCTGAAAATGTTAATGTTGTAGGTTACAAGTCCAATAATTTCATTAGTTTCTTCACTTTTACGAAATGGAGAGGATGATATTACTATACTTTATGCTCTGAGGACAATTGGAAATATCTCCAGTCAAGGAAGGGTACTGGTCAGCTCCATTCACCAGCGAAGATGCCATTACTAACCTCTGCTACATATTTAGGGCTTCTGGAAATCATGAGAGCATGAGGCTGACAGCAGGGTCTTGCTTGGCTCATCTTGTTCGTTTTAGCCCTTCTAGTATTCAACGAGTCATGGAGAAACTTTCATTCAAGGATGTGGTTTCAAGTCTGGTCAACCGTAATTCAAGTGAGTAAAAAATCTGCTTAAACATTCTGAACATGACCCTCCTTGAAAGTCATACACTTCCAAGTGTTGGAGGGTACCTTCTTGCCTTGGTCGAAGACAAGAATCTTGTTCTGAATCTGTTGACTCTAATAGAGTAGGGAAGTGATGTTTTGATGGGAAAAAGGCACTCATATTTGTGGATCTACTTCGTATGAATGGGAAGAGGTGGCTGCCACTAGTTTTTTGCAATGCTAAATTGCTCTCGACCGTTGATAGGTTGGTTAATGAGAAGAATGACTTTGTGATGCAGTGTTTAGATGCCCTTGGGATGGTTGTCACATCAACTGTACCAAGTTTGCTTGAGCGTATAACTGGGTAGATCATCAACTGAAGGGTGATAAACGCCTTGGGCAGATAATTAGCGTCACAAGTCGAAATTCTTCTAAGAATAGTATGCATTTATTTCCTATTGTTCTCCATCTTCTTGAGTGCCCCTTCACTGAAAAGACGGGTTACTAGTCATCAGGTTATGCAACAGTTGGCAAATCTGCTTAAACTGGTGGAGTTTCCTTTCCAGGTAATCTGATGATATCCTTATTACATTTTCTAATAGAAACATAATTTATCATGAAGTTCAAGAATTCTTTTTGTTGTTGTTGATAAAGTTAATTAAGGTATAAAAAATCAGTTCATTGACACTATATCTGAAAATCTTTAGTTATGTGTAGCGAACGTAAATAATGGCTGATGCCTTGTTTCTCTTTGAACATGTCAAGTTTCCTTCTGATAATTTGCTTATAATTTTCCTACTTAACCAGCTTGGCGAAGGAGGTGTATTCATACAAAATGTTGAAGGTGCAGGGTTAGCGTCATTCGATTGTTGACTTTATTCGAGAGGAATCAAAACAATGGATCTTCACGTTGAAAAACAACAAGTTTAATTTTATTTGGTTTTTTTTGGTGGTGAAATTTGTTGTCCCAGCACTCATTCTAGAAACATATGTGCCATCTTGCACCTTCGATAATCTAATATTCTTGACCCCATAGATTTTCATAATTATGGCATGCATACTGCTGCATCTTCATCTTTATATTCGTAAAATTCTGGACATCACAATGTTCTAACTAAATTATTTCAATATCTTGCAGGAGAATGCACAAACAATTGCTAAATATTTCTCTTCGCATCCACAAGTGAAGAAGGTCAATTATGCAGGTCCTGCTGACCATCCAGGGAGGTCTTTGCACTTCTCTTAGGTATTCAAACAAGTGATTTTTTTGGGACTTTGAACTTAAGGCGCTATGGTTGTCGGTATCCTGCCACCATGAAGCTCTTCCTTGAAACTTACTTATTAAATGTTGATCAGTTTGCAGGTTATGGGTGCAGGATCGGTGCTGAGTTGTTCTAACAGGTTCTTTGGCACTGTTTAAGCATGTTGCTGAGGCTACCAAGTACTTAAGCATTACAGGCAGTTTGGTTAGTTTCATCTTATGCTCAACTGCTATTTTCTAAGATCATTTTTTCCTATCAAACTACTTCCTAATATGCCTTCTCAATCTTGCTTTGGTAAGACAAACCATATATATAGTGGACGAAAACCATCTAAGTATGAAAACAATGTTTCTTTTTGAATATCACATCTAATAGCAAACCTTAAGAGTGAGCAATGCCTAAAGAGATGGCAGCATAGGCAATCTGCCTTAACACTAGCGTAATCAAGGATAGCGGAAAACGGAACTATCAATAAGAAATATTGGCAAAATACCTAGACATGGTGCCTCTTACTCTAAAAATCTAACAACTAGACGAGGAGATAGTGTGTTGGACTGTTTCATATCTAACTCAACTAAAGCATATTTGTGTCACGACCCGACTTCCCTAGTCACGATGGCACCTACTATAACCCACTAGTAGGTAAGCCAACCCGTACCCAAAACGACAAGTAACGCGGCACACCTCCGCGAACGCGGAGTAGACAGTGATGGCATGACCAAAATAGTAGCTTCACACAGCTTAGCTCAGACCTTCTTTTGATGATTTCTTTGGCTTAAATACTTCCTAATACATTGTTCTAAGTGTCCTCAAGAACTTTTGACATGTTGGCTTCATTTGTAGGTGTTTTGAACTAAAAATGGCTTACGAAACCAAAGAGAATGATTAAGAAATGGCTCCAAACATTGAGGAAAAGTATTTTTGATGAGAGCAGGTTCTTTTAGGTAAAATGTACCTGGAAATATGATGAGTACTTGCCCCGAAGTGAGGACAGTGTCTCATTTTCTGTTTTGGATAGCCTCCCTTGTAGTGATTTTGTTGATATTTCTGTATACTGTGATTGTGCCCTTGTCGGGCGTACTTTTCGTTCTTTGTTATGGATTGGTATTCCCTTGTCAGACTTTGATATTGTGGATGTTTTTGTTGATATTTTGTTGGATTGGTCTATTTTAGTTTTTGATTTGTAGTTTGTATCTTCTTTGTTTTTGTTTTGATAATAACATTTGGATTGACACAGTGTTATTAAAAGCGAAAAGCGTAAAAAAGCTCTAAGGTCCGTGGGGGCTTTAAGCGCAAAGCGCAAATAAAGCGTAGGCTTTAATGAAAAAAGGCGCATAGGGTGAAAAAATAAAATGTGTATGTTTAGTCCAAAACTAATAATTATAAACATGAATGACAAATATATGACCAAAGAAATTGTAATTTTTTTTATGATAAAGTGAAATATCAATTGTTTAGTGTCACTTCTTCATAAGAGGCTCATTGAAAAGGAAAAGTTTTTCTTAGAACTTTGATGACGACACTGAAGCGCACATAAAGCGAGGCGAAGCGCTCAACACGTTTTGAGCCTCGCTTTAGGGCTTAAGCGCGCTTAAAGCGCACCTTTGATGGATTGACGATGCCCGATGATGGATAGAGCGTGACGACTTTCTTAAGGGTAAATTGTTGATTCCTTGTGAGTGTTCCATTGGCGTTGATAGTGGTGTAGTCTGAGTAGCCGTTCCTAATTAAATGCATGGAAGTACTTGTTGTTGTTGATTAAGTTAATTAAATTTTAAGAAATCAGTCCATTGACACTATATTTGAAAATCTTTAGTTAGTTATGTATAGCGTATTGAACGTAAATAATGACTGATGCCTTGTTTCTCTTTGAACATGTCAAGGCGTCCTGATAATTTGCTTATAATTTTCCTACTTAAGCAGTTTGGCAAAGGAGGTGTACTTCCTACAAAATGTTGAAGGTGCAGGTTTAACATCATTCGATTATTTGACTTTGTTTGAGAGGAATCAAAACAATGGCTCTTCACGTTGAAAAACAACAAGTTTAAATTTATTTGCTTTTTTTGTGGTGAAATTAGTTGCCCCACCACTCGTTCTAGAAAC